TTAAAACAAGGACTATATATGAGCAGAAGGATTCATGACACTAAAAAATGAGATTTTACTTTGGACACAGAAGAACATCAGGTTTCACCTGCTAAAAATCCAGGTTTGGGTAGAATATTCAGCCCTTAGCTCTGAGAGAATATCTGTGTACATATTGGTTAGGATCCCAAGATTTGGGTGGATCCAAATGAGTATGAGCCCATCTGAGGAGTATAATGCAACTTAACATTGTAACCAATATAACTTCTGAAGCCCTGCTTCACCACCCAAGCTCACAGCTTGGTCAAGCTCCAAGAGTCACTTATGGAAGAGAAACAGGATCTATTGGCAATTAGGAGGACTCTGACACCAAACTAAACCAGAAGATGGGGCCCATCGGAGAGGTTTATTGAGGAGGGCATCTGGTTGTGGAATCCAGGAAGTGGGAGTTGAAAAAGAATGAGGACTTGGGTCCTTCTAGAAGAACAGACTTGGGGAAGTATCAGGGATCAAACTCGGGTCCTTGCACTTGTGAGGCAGGAAACAGAACCACTGAGCTAAATCCCTGGCCCAAGAGCAGACATTTTTTAGGGGACTTCACATGGTTTCTCAGAGCCTGAAAAGGCAAAAGACCCCTTGACCTACTGAGGGCTAATTGTCACCTCATTAGTTGGGGCCTATAAAAAGACTTGTCGGGAGCCAGGTGCAGTGGCGCAGGCCTGTAATCCCAGCACTTGGGAAGCTGAGGCAGGAGGATTGCTGTGAGTTCAAGACCACCCTGGGCTACACAGTGAGTTCCAGGTCAGTCTCAACTACAAAGTGAGACTCTGTCTTTAAAGAAAAAAAAAAAACTGTCAGGTCTTTCTACCCTGCACCTTGGGCCTTGCAGGGTTTTGGCAGGCTGGTGATGGGATGAAGGAGCTGGACATAGGTCCACTCCATGGCTCATATCTGTCTCTGGGCCTTGAACTCAGCAGAGGAAGAGGGCCCCAATCCTGAGAGGCACCCTACTCCAACTCCTCCCTCTCCTCTTTCCTCAATAATCCCCCCCCCAAACATTCCATTTCCCTGCCCACTTTCTTTTCAGATTCTATAAATGTCTAGACAGATCTCAGAGATTCATATTCTGGGGGTGGGGTAGATTGGAGGACACTGAGACCGTCAGAAATGCACACGGTATGCAAATGGCTCATCCAGAGATTCAGAGACAGACTGAGCAGGCAGAGGATCCAAGCTATGATCTGGATGGATCCAATTGCACAAATTTGAAAAAGGGGTCCTTTGAGTTTTTCCCTGAGGGATCCAGAGCCTAACAGCAGCTCTTGTGCACTTTCCCCTGGCCCCGTTTGAGTTGTATTTGCTTCTATTCTAAGACAGAAACAGAACATCAAAGGGAGAGGCTCAGATAGGAGTGAACAGAGAAGAGGAGGGAGGAGGCAGGACAAGGGACCAGAGAAGCCCAGAGTAAGCTTCCCAGAGGAAGTGTGTCCCACCCTACAGCCAAAGCCTCTGCCCTTCCCCCAACCTCTTCCTCCAAAGCCCCCTTTGCAGCAGCTCCACAAGCCTATAAGCCCTGTCCTTCTCTACCTATATCCCTGACCAAGGTCCCTGCCAAGGGTGCCTAGGTTCACGCTCAATCTTCCCACCTCCCCATCCTTGGTTCAGATCTGCACCTTGACCCTTCCTAACCCCTCCCCAGGAGGCCCCTCTGCCGCTCTCTCACATGGCCCCATAGCCCCCATCCCCTTCACCGCCACGCCACCCGGGGAAGAGTTGCCTGCAGGGGAGACCTCTACTCAGGAGGTCCTGGAATAGCATCTCTGAACCAACACAGACAGGCACAAAAGTCACAGAGGTACCAAGGGGCTGCAGCAGCTGCTGCATTCCCAACAATCCTCCAGCAAAGATTTAGGGTGGAAGACTGCCCAGGGAGTAAATGGACAAGAAGGGCAGGAGCTTCATGGAAACACACCGAGTGAGCTCTAACTAGAAAGGGCTGGAGTTCACTACAGACAGAGGGACAAGATCTGTACTTGGGATTAAGTTTGAGAATATGAATTTCAATTGCAGACTGAGGCTTAAATCAGGGCTTCCAGGCAAAAGCTTCAAACTTCCTAAGCCTCAGTGGTTCCTAATCAGAAGAAGGGACACCCCCCCCCCAAGGAGGAGCCTGGATACACCCAAATCTCTCCCATCAAGTAATGTCCTAGAGCTGAACCAGACTCATAAAAGTGAACGGCACAGTCCTCAGCACTAAAGGAGTGGCCTGTCCACCACTGTACCTACTAAAGCACAGTAGCAAAGGGCAGTTGAGTGACCATCATTGAGAGAATGAGCAGAGGTGAGAAGAAACCCCTTCTAAAGAGCGTGAGAAATCCAGATGACACCAAAGGAAGAATTGAGAGATCTTGAAGATAAAACTATCTTTACTTCCTGAAGGTCAGCCACATTCTGCAGACCCTTCATCTATTCTGAATTTGGCTGAGTTTTGCACTAGGCCCTGGGGAAACAACCATGGAGGAGATAGTTTCTGTCCTTCCAGCGCGCCCAATCTAATGGGGGACACAGACAAGGAAGGAGCATCTTAGCCTACGTGTGTTAAGCTGTGCTAATATGCACGTGTGTGACCTAGAGTTTGGTATGCCTTTTCATCTTCACGTTTCTGCTCTCCGTGATTCGTTGCTTACCTTTCTTACTTTTTTAGTTGTTGGCAACCTGGTCTTCTGCTTAAATAGATGCCTACCCCAGGTAACTCCTTTTTGTGCTGTGCTCAAAGCTTCATCTGCACTTTCCCCTAGATGGCCTTTTATCTCCGGGTACCATTAGTGAGCTGCTTTCTCGGTGCCTTATTTCATCCCAGCCCACATTTTTGCTATGATTGGCAGCTATTTTGGTTCATCACGTGGGTTAGCCATATTGATTTGTCATATGATTCTGCCATTTTGGTTCATCCTGTGGGTAGGCCACATGGATTGGGCCATGTTTGTCAGCTGTTTCAGTTGGTTGAATGAGTTAAGTCACATGATTCCACCATGCTTCTTTTCAGCTGCCCTCATGTCACCGGGAAACCTCACCTTTATGGGTAGGAGCTAAGCCTCTGATTTTAGGGAACATATGTGCCTTCTTTTTTTCTCTCTTTTCAACTGTGTTAGATCCTCTCCTTGTTTCTTCTAACAGAAATTTGGTAAGTTAGAGACCTCTGCCTGATGGACTAAACAGAACAAAAGAACATCCAGGAAAGCTGTCAACTCTAGGGGCTGTATGACAAGTGGAGCCATTCTAGTTCTTAAAATCTTTTGAAGTTTTTTTTTTTTTAATTATCAAGGTAAATGTAAGAGACACTATTTCTCAAGTGGCTCTGATATCTTAAGAATATACTATTTCAGTCCAGGGATTTAGGTGCCACCACCTGCCTCGCACGCACAGGGTCCTGAGTTCATTCCCCAGTACTGAAAAAAAAAAAGAATATACTATTTTTATGCAAAGTAGAGCCATCAAGATCTCTTAGCCATCCTGATTTCTTAGGAATGTACTGGTTCTTGGGCCAGGGATTTAGCTCAGTGGTTCCAGCACCTGCCTCGCAAGCACAAGGACCTGAGTTTGATCCCTGGTACCAAAAAGAGTGTACTGTTTCTTAAGTGGCTAAGGGAATCCCTGAGGATGGGCCTCAGCTCTGATCCCCTGGGAGTTTCTAAGGGACACAAGATGCTAAAGAGTTCATCCTAAGGAGTTAGTGGGACTCTTTTTCTAGGAAAGACACTGGTGTCACCCCAACTTTGAACAGAGATATATGCTTAGTCAGTACTTGAGTCTCACAAGGATGCTTTGTGGGCTCAGTGGGTCCCTCTTTCTGAGTAGGATGCCATCAGAAGGATCCAAGACCTCTCCTCCCTCAAAATGAGCCATGGGAAACACCATGAATAGCACCCCACATATTTTACCTACTTCGTTGCTAGGGTGCACCTTTGATCAGTGGGAACAGCTTGACCCTGCCAATGTGAAAATGTAATGACTTATCTATTATTACAGTGTGGTTTGGATCTGGTATAAAATGGGGAATGGTGAGAGATGGGTAACGGGATACAGTTTAAATGATGACACTATTTCTCAGTTAACTCATGCATAAAGCATGAAAGGTAGAGTAAGATTGCTTATGTTCAGGCTTTTATGACCCTTTATCTCAGGAAAAAACCCAGAAACTGATATTTAGAGTGACCCATGAGGAAGAGAGGGAGATCCCCACCTCTCTTTCAGGGGGAAATAGCTGTCTTCCACCTGCTGAACCATCATTAAACAACCATACTGTGAGGCCTCCTCAACCCCCTTCTTATATCCACAGGCCAGTAAAGCAATCCTATCCCCTTCAAATGACTCAGGAACTCCACCAGAGCCTCGTGCCCCAGAGGAACCCAGTATCCCTCAGCCCCCTCATCATGCTTCTCAGACAACTTTAAGTCCTGCAGGATGTGCTCAGAGTGCTGCTTCTTACTTCTCTGACTCACAACTTGTTCTGCACCCCAAGAGAGGTCTCAGGAACAGAGGGGACTATTCAAGTCCAGGTCACCTTTTCAGTTGCAGAAATCCAGCCATGCAAAGAAGAGTTCTATCAGAGGAACCTAGTAAGTTTGAAGATAGGTTTCAAACTTTGGCCCTCACTTTTAACCTATTATGGCAAGATGTCTAATTCATCTTGACCACTTACTTGCTAAACCCCAATGAAAGAAAAGGAAGAGGCTAAGAACTATGCAAATGAACAATATGCTTTTATTGGAAAAGGAAAGAAGGAAAAAGAAACCATAGTGGAGAGGCTGGTTTCCCTTCAACAGAACCAAACTGGGACTATAATAATTATTAGTGATGGACTAAAAATAATGTCTAACATGATAGCTGCTTTTATCATGGGAGTGAAAAGGTACATTAAGAAATCTGTTAAACAGGCCGGCGATTTAGCTCAGTGGTTCCACTGCCTGCCTAGCAAGCACAAGGACCTGAGTTCGATCCCCAGTACCCCCCCAAAAAAATCTGTTAATTATGATAAGGTGAGCAGGGTCGTACAGGGCAAAGAAGAAAATCCAGCTGTCTTCTATTAGTAGAAGTCTTTTGTAAATATACAAACAGATCCATCTTCCAGGGAGGAACAGGTACTGGTGGCCCATCATTTCACTTGCCAATCAGCCCCAGATATTTGGCATAGATTACAAAAACTCCCGATGGGTCCGCAGATACCTCTGAGCCAATTGCTGGACATGGTCTTTCCTGTGCTCAACAACTGGGATCCAGGTGAGGGTGAAAAGAGAAGGGCTAAAATTATAGATGTGGCAGCTGGCAATGCTTTAAATACAGCCTAGTTGGCTAAAGGAAAACCCAGGGACAACAGAGGAAAGAGTTCCTGTTTTAAATGAAAGAAGGAAAAAGAGTAATAATAAATGCAAGATGACTAGATGCTGCACCAAGCTTTTGCCAAGGCCCTGCTCCAAGTATCAGCCGGCCAATGTGCCTGACCCACAGCGCGGACTGTTGACTGTCCCCAGCCCAGAGAGAGGCCAGGTGAGCCAAAAGCCTCATCTTGTGCTCTGATGAAGACCGAAGGGGCCTGGGACAACCTGCAATGTGCCTGTCCATTGATGTTACCATCTCCTGTGAGGGACACGAGGTGACCCTGAATGTCATATGTGAGTCAACTTAATTACTTATTGATACAAGGGCAGCTCACTCTGTTTAACTTCCTTCTCTGGAAAACCCTCTTCTAGATCTATAGCCATAATTGGGGTTTAGGAAACAATCTAGACAGAGCTTCTTTATTCCTGCTCTGACATATCACTTTGAAGGCCAAATGTTTAACCATCAGTTTTTAATTGTCCTACGGTGGCCTACTCCTTTACTAAGAAGAGATTTACTAGTGAAACTGGGGGCAATTCTCAAATTCCAGCAAAGGTCAACGTTGATTGGGCGGGGGGTACTGGGGATCAAACTAGGTCAAGGTGAATTTACCTTTTGGGACTATGCCAGATCTCTCTGACCTATTAGACAACAGCTGAACCCTGCTTCATGGTATAATGGAATACCTGGTAGGGAAAACACAGCCATTGCCGTAGTTAGAAAACTAAAAGAACTTCTTATGATAAAGACTGTCCAGTTCTGCTGCTGAAGGGAGACAGAGAAAAGCTTTTAGTGGTGAGGAAGTTGGGCAGTGAGGTGTTCGGGCTTCGAGAAGATTCTGATGGTCTGAGCTAATCATCTGTATTCTCTTTACTCAAGACTCCTGAGGAGGAAGAGATTTTAAACAAAGAACAATCAAAGATAATTCAAAAGAAGTGTGATAAGAGGAAGAAGAATACCAAAATCAGCAGTTCCAGCAGGGCAAGCTCCTTGCCTGCATGACATCAAGAATGGACCCGTGTGGCCAAGCTGATGGCTTAGACAGCAAGAAGCTGGAGTTCTATCTGAGGAAAGTCAAGGCCCAGAAAGGCACATAAGTCCTCTCCCCTGGCATTGCTCATGCAATAAAGGTATTTATTGTTCAAAAAAAAAAAAAAAACCCTAAAGACCCCAGCCAATTTCCCCATGAAAAGCAGTGTCCAGTCAAAGAAAAAGCCCATAAAGGTGTCCAGCCTCTTATAGACAGGTTTTTCAAACATTGCCTTGCCAGTCCCTTTGCGTTGCTCCATTCTCCTACAGGAGAATATAGGATGGTACAGCCTTATTAATAAGGCTGCAATCCCAGTCAACCCTCTGGTGGCAGATCCATCCGTACACAATTTTCTCCCAAATTCTAAGGGTCACAAGTTGGTTCTCAGGCTTAGAACTTGAAGATGTTTTCTTTTCTTTTCCTCTCCATCCAGATTCCCGGTTTTGGTTTGCTTTTGAATGGGAAAATCCCATTTCAAAGGAAAAACAGCAGTATAACTTGGACAGTTCCCCAACAGGCACTAGAAAAAGACTTAAGGAACCTAGCGCTTAAACAAGAAATGTTTTTTTTTTAGTACCGGAGATTGAACTCAGGTCCTTGCGCTTGCAAGGCAGGCCACCAAACCTCTGAGCTAAATCCCCAGCCCAAAACCATTTTGTAATCTAAAGCCAGCCCCACTTGAACTGTCTGAAGAAAAAGACCACCCAAAAGAAAAAAGCTACTCTGGTAAACCTCTGAAAGACCTGAGGTTCCTCTTCAAAAAAAGAAAACTCCAGTATTGCTCTTGGTACAAATAAGTAAATGGGCACCTCTATGGAGATTCCGGATTTCTAATTAGATCCATCATGTGGGTAATCTTGCTAAAACGACAGCTCTCAGGCCCTCGATAATTTATCTAACATCCCCCTTTGCCATACTTTCTCCTCCAGAGGAAACGTGGAAATCTGACCTACTCTTCTCATATTTGGGCTCTATATCCCAACCTAATAGTGATGTTACTATCCTGACAATTTAACCAAGCCTTCTCCCATCCAACAGAGGTTCCTATGAACACTATTTTCTCACTGTCTTCTGGCAGGTCTTTTTCTTTCTCTTTAATCCAGCCAGTAAGCCACAGCACCCCAAGGCAGGTGGAAAGCACATAATGCCCAGTAGGTACACCCCCTTTCAGCAAGAAGTAGCTATATGAAGACAGTGACCTCCGCTCGCACAATACCCCATAAAGAATTATGGGGATGTGTGTCCCTCAGGAGGAAATGAGGCAGGAGATTAGGGCACAGCAGACTAGCCAGGGAGTAGGTGTGACCTGTTAATTGCAAAATCCCAGGACACACGCACAGAATAGTTCCCAAAGCCCTGCATGTGGTCTTCTCTCAAGGTTTTCAATAGGGTGGCCTACACCTGACACCAGCCAGAGGGGGAATACAAAAGGACAATCGACACTGGGCTTTGGGCTACCCCGTTCTCATTGTAGCCTATTCTTGTCCTGTATAGTGTACTTATCTTCCCATTTTTACTTGGCTCAAACTCACTCCACAGAGCCTGTTCATTTTCCTACCTTCTATTTATGTAAAATCTTGCTACTGTTTGTACTTCTCTTGACCAATTCTTTGCTTAGGACAGAAAGAAATCACCTCTAGAAAGAGACGGTAGCACCCCAAAACCCAATAATAAGGGAAGTTTAGTGCTTGGGAGATAAGTGAAGATCAAGAGAGAAAGCCAGGAGTAACAGATGATGATTATTTCTGAGGGAGACCCTTGAGAACTGAACCTCTGGGAACCTTCTGTTCAAACCCCCAGAACACCTCGCTCGAATCAGAGCCAAGCCTTTAGGAGGGACTGGACAACCAAGACTGGCCTGGGCCGTGTGCGTGCGTGCGTGCTTGCATGCGTGCGTGCGTAGAGACTGATGAATTAAGTCAAGGTTCAATGGGACTTTGGCTTTTGAATTTGTTGACATAAAATGCACCTTTACTTGGCTACACAGATTCTCTGGACACATATTTTCAGGGGGAACCTGTGGCCCATCCTGGTGTCTAAGACTGGTCCCAAGCCTGCCTCCAGGCAATTGCTCCAAAAGGTGTGTGGGAGCTGGCAGGCAACAGAAGGGTGTGTGTCTGGTTCCCACTAAGCCAGACCTGACCTGACCTGACCAGACCTCACGCTGCCAGCCCTGTTTGTTTCCTGTTGCCTAGATACCAGACTGAGGGACTGAATGAGAGGAAGACGGCACCAGAGGGGGTGAGGCTCAGAGGGAACCCAGCTCAGCCAGGGGTGACTGGAAAGTGTTCACTGGCAAGAGAACAGGAGGCTCAGCCCAAGGGATAAAGTGGAAGGGTTCCCCACCTCCCTCAGTTTCCTTCCTATAATAAGCCCTTCCCTAAAATGCTCGGGAAAAATCCTGTTTCCAGAACTACAGGCCTTTCCCCTCAAGGGGTAAGGCTGCACAGTAGCTGGGATAGAAGATATCTGAAGGGGTTTCAGGCACATCAAAAGAGCCTAAACCTGGTGTGGTGATGCACACCTATAATCCCAGCTACGCAGGAAGCTGAGGCAGAAGGATTCCAAGTTTAAGACAAGACTGGGCCACATAGTGAGACTTTCTCTCAAAAAAAAAAATTTGTTTTTTTAATTTTTAAAAGGCTCGGTGATAGAATGTTCTTCAGTTCAATATTTAATGCCAAAAATGGGGGGCCTTGGATTTGTTTTATGTGGACCCGAGGAGCCAAACTTGAGCCACGCCTTAAATGCATGGACTCATATTGATTCAGTATTAGGGACTTTCTGAGCATCAGCCTGATCTGACTGGGTTGCAAGTACTGAAGACTCTGGCCTTTTCTGTGTGTGCAAGCTCAGACCCTCCTGCCATTTGGTTAGAGTTTACTAAGAAGATTCAATCATCAGAAGTTTTCAAGGTTCCTTCTATCCTTGATGTCCTATGATTTGGGTCTCATCCCCTTAAACCCAGAGACAGGCTTTCTCCAGGGCCATGCTCACTAGCTTGGGACAGTTTCTTTATTCCACACCCCCTCCCATCTCCTCCATTCTTCTTTCTGGAGACTTCTAAGAAAGCCATCCAAAATTTCCACCTTATTCATGCCCCCACCTCCAGTTATCTAAAGGCTCTGGGACACCTCCAGAGCCTTTACCTCCGGCCAGGAGGACTTGGGTGAGAATGCAGGAAGAGACAGAGATTGCCCCACTAAGGGCATGTCCCCGCTAGGATGGGCAGGAGCTGTGGGAGCTAACACAGAGGATAGGTTTACATTACTTAAAGCAGTCAAATCAAGAACAAGTCTATGATGTTAGAAACGAGGACCTTTCATGTAACCCTGGCATGAGCTTCCAGAATATATCTGTGATTGTAGAAGGGGAGGAGGGGCCTCCTCAGAGAGCAGCCTTGCATAGGAAGGGACTTCTGGTCTTTAGCAAGCCACCCCCATTTCCACCGTGCTCCTCCAGGCTTCCATGCTGCAGGAGTACTAGTTAGGAGGGGGAAGAGAGGGAAACAGCGAGGAACTGTCTGTCTCTGAGCCTCCATGGCATTTGCACCCACACTTCTTGTCTGAGACACCGGCGTCTCCCCTCTATAGTCATGTACACAGCTGCACCCTTTCTTACCCCAGAGTTCCGTCTAGCTTTGAACTCTTGAAGCCCCTTTTATCCAAGCTAAATCAAAGTGCTTTTACTGAGACCAATTAATGCTCAACTGTGACCCAAGTCACAGTTGCGGTGCTGAGTCCTTTCAGGGGCACAGGAGGACATCCCAGTACCCCACTGAGTCAGGGACTTCCTGGCTGGGCCACTAGGACAGGCTGCTGAGTCACATCCACCTGGAGCTGCTTCCGCAGCAGGTGCGAAGGATCTGAGACGGCCCCCAAGCCACAACACAGCGTCGTGTGGGCACCAGGCACCTGTGGGCAGCGAGGGCATAGAGCCCAGTCAGGAGCTGAGCATACATCCCTAGGAGGCAGCTGCCTGCAGATCTGACTCAGTGCTCGTGGCTAAGGCAATCACTGCATTTTCCAGACTGGACTAGCCCAGTCTGACATTGCAAGGACCTAGAGTCCCAGGAGCCCAAGACAGGGTGCTTAGCAGTCCTGAGGATCTAATATTTACCTTTATACATAAAAATAATATGGGCTGGGGATTTAGCTCAGTGGTTCTGCTGCCTGCCTTGCAAGCACAAGGACATAAGTTCAATCCCCAGTATCAAAATCAGAACAAAACAAAAATAGTAATATAAAGGGCTGGGGATTTCGCTTAGCGGTTTGGTGGCCTGCCTTGCAAGCGCAAGGACCCGAGTTCAATCCCTGGTACCAAAAAATAATAATAATACTACTAATATAAAAATAATGTAAAGCAAGTAGGTACTCATGCAACAAAGCCCAAAATATCTTGGACGAAGCCAGGCACAGTAGTGTACGCCTGTAATCCCAGATACTCTGGAGGCTGAGGAAGGAGGATTGCAAGTTGGAGGCCAGCCTGAGGAATTTAGTGAGACCCTATCTCCAAATAAAAAGGGATGGAAGGACCGGAGATTTCGCGCAGTGGTTCCAGTTGCCTTGCAAGTGCAATGTCCTGAGTTCAAACCCTGGTACTAAATAAATAAATAAATAAATAAATAAATAAATAAATAAATAAATAAATATTTTTAAAATAATAAAAATAAAAAGAGGTAGGAAATGTAGCTCAGTGGTAGAGCACCCCTTTGCTCAGTCAGCAATAACCGCACCTCAGATAAACCTCATCATCTATGACACTGCCACTGCACAAAGCTTGTCCGCTCAATCAAGTGTACCACACAGGCACACACAGGCACACACATGCACACACACACACAGAAAAGGTTGGGCGCTTTTGGGGGGAGGTTGTTTTTTCTGTTTGTTTGTTTGACTGGGTTTTTTTGGTACCAGGGATCGAACTCAGGACCTTGTGCTTGCGAGGTAGGCATGGTATCACCGAGCTAAATCCCCGGCCAGTGCTTTTTTAGAAAATACATCCTTATATCACCAAAGACAATGCACCAGCAGCATTTCTCACGCATCTTCATATTTCCCCAACACTGCTCTACTCCTCTGCAGCCTCCTAGATGCCACAGGGCTGGTTGGTGGGGAAGAGTAAAGAGCTCATTTCTACCTTGGAGCATGAGGGGAGAGCGAAAGCTTCCTTAGCCAAAGCACCACCCCACTGCCAGACCTCATGCAGCAAGACTGATTATTCCTGATTTCCGATCCTGGGGCCCACTAGACCCTCAACTTTACACCCAATTCTCCCTCTTCTTTTCCTCATCCCCCACTGCAGTGAGGCTCACACAACCTCCTGCTGAGTGCCACACAATCACAGAATCACATCCTGACCTACTGGCCCACACTTATGCCAGGGGACTTCTTTCTGCCATCCAAGAGCAAGAGGGGTTGAGAGTTTATAAACGATTTGTAGGGTCTAGCTGGCCTAAGATTCCAACTTGAGATTGTCCCACTTCTAGGACCTGGGCCCCTACTGTCCAGTCCTCGAGACCATGGAGACCTATACAGTCTTCTCAGGAATCCTCAGAGAAGAAATCACACCTCTCTTCCACATCCAGAGCCAATTCCAGGATAAATTCCCAATGATATTGGAGTGGCCAGCCCTGGGGCAGAACACTGAAATTCTCTCCCATACTATCCTCACTTGTTCTGACCGGCTGTGTCCGCCCTGCTGCAAAGCCAGACCTTTAGTCAACCTTGCACTTTCCTGTGACCAGGCCCTGTTCATTCAGTTTTCTGCAGACCTTGGGTCCACCAAGCCCTGCAGAATTGTTTTTCCACCAGCAACAGCTCTAGTCTAATGCTGCCCTTGCTTTCACCGTAGGCATGGTCCATTTTTCTCTGCAAGGCCTCAGGAGTTGGCACAGAGTATGACAGCTCCTTTCTCTCCCTGCCTGTGCTCCACAGGGCCACTCTTTCCAGCTCTGAGACGGACAACTTGTGTGCAGAGCTGGGCAATCTCCAGGCTTGCTGTAATTTTCCTGGGAAAGACAGTCCTCTGAAACAGGTAAGGGTTTGTTCTTTGGTGTTTGCAGGTATCAACTAAATAGACAATCCCAGTGTGCCACCTGCAGAAGGGTGCCAGCATCCTTGATGGCACAGCCTTGCCTTCTCGACCATCCTAGACTGGGTGCCACATATCCCCAAAAGCCCTAGGAGGAAGGTATCGGCTTCCCTAGGTCAAAGATTGCAGCTCGGATTAGTGGGCACGGATAGTGAGCAAGTCTTTTCCACAAATACCTAATGGGGCTGCCCGAGTGGCTGGGAAGACACTAGCCTCCCTGGTGGGGAAGGTGGAGAGGGCACCTGGGGCGGTGCACAGGCCTGAGGAAGAGGAAGCACAGGAAGCAGCTTGCTGACTCTCCCTGGACCCTATGAAGAGAGGACTCTTGCCCGGGGCCCTTGTAACCTGGCGTTGTAAACACCCAGGACGCTCCTGGCAGCTGTCCTCTGCCTCCTCCAATGCGGAATGCAAGGAGGAAGACGGGTCTGGGCTGTAAATCTGAGAAATGGAGTAAACCCCTCGGGGTAGGGGATAGGGAGGCAGGGGCACCCTAGGGGAGTCGGATGGAAGCCCTTTCCCCCAGTGCAAACAAATACCAGAAGTGACTTCATTATTGCAAGCTGGTACTCCTGCCCCAAATGGGAGGCCGGGGCCAGGGCCCTTCCCCGCAAAAAAGGCTAAGATTATTCTAAAGATGCATGAAATTTGAAGGGAGAACCTAGGGGGAGAGTCGGAGGTAGCCTGGCACAAACCAGAGGTTTCTAGAAGCAGGGACCAGGCCTGCTGTACTCACTGTGTGCCCCGAGGGCACCTGGCATATGGCAGGCACTCAGTGAAGACCTGAATTTGTGAATGGGTGCATAAGGACCAGTCTGGGGCAGAGTGTGGAAAGTTACAACAAATGAAAATAGGTCTTAGGACCCCCCCACCCACCGCCGCCACTCATGGGGACAGAGGAGAATTGGGCCACATAAATGAGGGGGCAGCTGTGTCCAGGTGGGCAGCTGGGCCCTCGGCATGCCCTAGTGGGAGTGGCGCAGGTCTCTGTGCGACAGTACTACCAAGAGTTGAAGATGACTGAGGCAGGAGCAGTGAGCCACGGGCTCAAACACCACCCCTCCACAGATGTGCTCTGAGTCACCACTGTGAGCCCAGGAAGAGATGTGTCTCAGCTGGCTCCGTCCTCCCTCCCTCCCCGGCTCCACCCACCCACCCTCACTCCAGCCCTCCCCACAGATCCTTTCTAGCTCTGCCTCAGTACCCCAAAATGCCTCCGAGTCAGGTGCAGGGGAGATGCTGAGACAAGAGTGCTTAAAGTGGACGGGCCAGGACAAAGGGACATCCCCATTCAGGAGGGACAATCATGAGACAGCATCCTCCTGTCCCTGATCCTGTGTATCACACCGGTGATCAGGTCCCGGGAGTGTATTTTACTCCACCTTCAGGGCCTTGTGGTATATATGTCCACATAAGAAAGCTGAGCTGTTCCTTGGAGAAGTACAACAGATTTAATCTGTAACTATGAAATGTCTAGATTAGCAGCAATTTAGGACACCCAGAGACTGGGCAGAATCCATTCCCCGAAGCCACCTCAAGGTCCCTGAAGGCTCCGCCTTCAGTTCACAGAGCTGCTGGCCGGATGTTAGCTTTGCGCTCAGCTTCGATGCAGTACTTCTCAGGAAGGCCGGAGGCTCTGCCGGGAAAATGCAGGGCAAGCATAGGGCAGATGCAAGAGGAAGCAGGCCCTGGTGGGTGGGGCTTACAGAACCCGGGCCCATAACTCACCTCCCACCTTCCTGCCAAGGTCCCAGTATCCTGCCACACAGCTCCCAAAAAGCCAGGGAGCCCTGGTCCCAGAACATGCGGCCAGAGGCCCCTCGACCTCAGGAGTGTGACCCAGAGCCAGAGGAGGCCCTCACCGAGCACCTGTGCCGTGGCCCCTCTATCCCTGAATCCAGCCCACCAGGCCAGTCTCTTTGCGGAAAGGGAGGGGGCGGGGAAGAAAGGGTCCAGTGTACCTCAGCTCTTCCAGTTTTTTCTTCTTGATGTCCCTAATGTGCTCCTGCCGCTTCTGGGCCTCCTCTTCGAGGCGCTGGCCCTCCTCGAAGGTGGCAATCCGGTTCTGCACCTGCTTCTGCTGGTTCTCACGCACCTGGCGCCGGAGCTCGTTGGCATGCTGCAAGCGCCCTGTGGCCTTCTTCTCCTCCTCCAGCCGCTCCTTCTCAATCTGCTCTCTCTGAGCCCTGAGGAGGACACGGGGGGGGGTGGACTGGGCCAAGCTGCTGCAGAAAGGATGGGAGCCTGCCCGGGGGGCTCCTCCGTGGGGCCATGCTTCTGAGACCACAGGCCCAGGCTCCCCTCCTCTTCTTCCACAGCCCGATGGTCCCCCTGAAGGTGGCCACCGCGCGAACCCTCCTCCCACAGCCAGAACCGGCCTCGTGGACATGCTCAAAAGAGCCCCAGGCTTGGTTAATGCTCTGCTGTCATGGTGTTGAAATTCTTTGTTTAACAAGGTATTTCACAGTCACATTTTTCACTGGGCTCTGCAAATTATGTAGCTGGTTCTACAACCAGGATTTCACCCACTGGGAGTTATTGTTGCTACTCTTCCTTCCTAACAATTCATAGCTCCTCTCTAGCTTATTCTAAAATCTCCTTCCTCTCTCCCCTCTCCCTCCCTCCCTTCTTCCCTGCCTGCCTTCTGAAACCGGAAAATAAAAGGACAAAGGGCAAAGGCCTGAGCAATACTAAATAAACCACGTAAACTAACAGCCAGTTGAGACAAAGCCTCAAGGGAAGCTATGGGAAGCAGCAGCAAAGCAACCTATGCTTTTGCACGCACTCCAGAGAGCTATACATAAACCTCCGGATTTGGATGGATGCTTCCTTGGTGTCCTCTTGTTCCCCTCATCTAGTGGTGGCTTTTGCTTTCTGCCCTTTCTAAGAAAACTCTCCTGGTCATTCCCCACTGCCTGCTGTATTTGGTCACTTCCTCCTATGACACCTCAGAACAAGAACCCAGAGGGGGAAAGAGCTGGGAACTCATTCTTCTTCCTGTCCTCCCTCCTTCCCTTCTTTCCTTCCTTCCTTCCTTCCCTCTCTAACAATAAAAACAATAAAACCAACAGAGAAACAGGTGATAAGGTCTGTAGTATTAGCTCTATCTAAATTACTGGAAAAAGGAAAGAGTTTAGTCTGGTTATCTTAGTTCTTTTATTGACCCGCTTCTCCAAATTCCTCTTAAAAGCCTCTTCCACCAAAATATTTCAAAAAGCCAGGCAGGGTGGCACACACCTGTGATCCCAGCACTCTGGAAGGCTGAGGCAGGAGGATTTCAAATTTGTCCAACCTGAGAAACCTAGCAACTTAGCAAGACCCTGTCTTCAAAATAAAAAATAAATGAAGGGCTGGAGATGCAGTTCAGTGCAAAGGCTCTGGGTTCAATCCCCAGTGCCGTTCACATACCCACAAACATAACCACATGGACCCTGACACCAAAAGAAAAGAAACTAGATAACACTCAGAAAAAGCTGAAATAAAATGTGGTCACTTCAGAGGAGATGTATTCAGAGACACCTTCAGCTAAATTTAGTTTCTTTCTTCCTCAATATAACCAAAACCAAAATTCAAAGCCATCATAGGCAGGGATCCCTCACCTGCTCTACCCTCACAGGCTCACTCATATCCCAACAAAGATCCCAAATACACTGCCTTGTTTTCTCCCCTCCTCTCCCAGTCTTCCACGATCCACCATACAGGCAGCATCCTCTCGAATCCCAGCAGCTCTTTCTACCAGTCTGACAGCTCATAAAATCCCACAGCCTCCCAGAGCCTCCCCAAGTTTATCAGACAAGAACTGCTGGCTTCCTTGCACTTCTGCAGCTGGATGCCAAAGCCCCGCACTGAGCCACCTGTACAGAAGCAGGGAGACTGCTGCCTCACCACTGTTTCCTGTGTGTAGATCAGTTTCCTCTGAGCAGAGGAGCAAGTGTGGAATAAAGGGTTGCACATGCAGCAGACAGTGGAAAATCCAAATGGAAGAGTCTGTCACTCTACAGAGTTAGGTCAGTGGTCAGGTTGCCTGGCTACATATTAAAATCATGTGGAGCCTTTCAAAAGATGCTAATGTCTGGGCCTCACCCCAGGCCCTTTAAATTACCACTGGTGGTGGGGGAACCTTAACATCAGCATTTTTGCAAAGGCCCCAGGCTTTTCTGAGAACCAGGTGATGAGATAGATCAGCTATCTCTGCTTAGTCCACACGACTAGAGGTAAAGGCATCACTCTGCCCAGGGGAAGGAAGTCCATACATAGGCCATACAGGAGGCCATACCTTTAAACTAAGAAAATGTGGGTTGCTGGATGTGGCAGAGAAGGTCTAAGAGTGAAGATGCCCATCGTGGAGGTCATGTGGCCTAGAGACACTAGGTCTAGTTGACAACCTAGGACAGCAGGTGAAGTTGAACCTCTGCAAAGGGCCAGTCCAGCTTTAATAACTGGCTAGTGTGTCTGCTTCAGGCAAACAAAGCAAAGCAGAGACAAATGGGTCAGCATCAAGAGTAGGATCTTAATTTCATTTCATTAATATTTATTAGTGCTGCTAAAGGCACACAGATGTCCAAGGGCACAGAGGCCAGGGAGAAGAGGGGAGACATCTGGAAGGCAATCTGAAGCCCAGAGGCAAGATCTCTGGGGACATTCAGGAAGGTGTCTTCTTTACCAGGTGTCCAGTGACCATGGCAGAACCCCAAGGGTAGGGAAAGCTGCAGAACCAAAGGACATCACAGCCAGCGGGAAATACCCACTGCGATCCTGTAAAAGATCGGGAATCTGGCTCTGGCAAGAACAGAGTTTCTCCCAGATCGGCTCTGCCTCTGCCTATGGACTGGCTCACTGGGTCCGGCAGGCCACTACCGAGGCAGCACCAAGAGCACAGGCCTACTGTGTGCTCACCACAAAAGCTGGGCCATCCTGTTCAATCTCTGCTTGTCTGAGCATAACTTCTGTAATTTTAAAACATCCAAATTCAAATTCTGCTTGGTTGCTTTTTCCTGTGGAAAAAGTCTTATTTTACAAAAGCTTCAAGATCCAGAACCAAATGGGAGTTGTTTCTAGTTCAGCCAGGTCTGGTGGGCCAATCTGACTGGCCAAAGTAGAGTACAGAGGGGATCCAGTGGCACCTATGATCACTGGGTGCTGTTGGGAGAGTCGGGACGTGAGTGCTTGGCTTCTGCTTAAGTGCTGGGAGTATCATTGAGCCGAAACAGCAAAAATAAAAGGATGAAAAGTTCCCAGGCAGGAAAGATGGATGAATATCGGTGAGGTCCATCTAAACATAAATCTCTAACATCCTTCCTCTGGAAGAGGAAGAGCTCTTTTCACTAATTCCCAATGTCTTCCAAAGCATCCAGTGCAGAGCTTTGAATGTACATGATCCATGCACATTTGCTGAATCAATGGCAAAGGCCTCCTTCAAAGTCCTGCCCTAGTGACACAGCCCTCAGTGAGTGAAGTTCTTCTCCACCTCTCCCAAGTCTTCCGCTGAAGCTTCATCCCTAACTTCAGAGGGACATGGAAGCAGGGGGCCAGATTTATATGCACCTTTACTGCCCTAGGATAAATATCTCTAAGGAAACCCCCCAATTCCTTAAAAGCACTTCCAGATGTGATTTCCCAATCCTCTAATCACAAATTTCCTGGCTCAAGTGGCTTGAAAGATTCCAACCATCCATCCAGTAGAGTGACAGCATCAACATGGTCGAGAGGGATGCGCATCTGTCCATTAAAATATTAGAAAGCTCTCTCCACCCACATGTGGATCTCCCCTGCGGGATCCCCCCCTCACACCCCTCCCACCGCAGGGCAGACACGGGAAGCAAGCCAAGGTTCCCAGTCCCCTCCTACCGGAGAATCCTCTCAAACTCATCCCGGTCCCGTTGCACCTGAACAGCCAGAGTGTGCTCTTTGAAAGCCACCTGTTCCAGGCGACTTTTGCGCAGCCTAGCCTCAGTTTCCATCTTCTTCTGTGCATTTTCCTTTTCCTTTCTGCGCCACTCTCGGTCTGCAACCTCTTGGTTGCGCTTGGCCCGCAAGGCGTCCTGGGAAGGAATGGGAGGGTGCAAAACAACCTTGGGTACCGACCGGGTGTCTCCAGGAAGATACCGGTTTACAGCTTTACTCAGTCAGCTTTAAGAAGCACGTAGATTTCTCTGACAGCAAATTATTCTAGTAAAGAATCTGGCATAGGACTTTCAGGTCGGAAGATGGCCAGAGGAGCCACCTTGTCCTTACACCTCACTCTCCCAATCCCTCCCCAGTTCCCCAAACACCTCTAGGCAGTCCCGCAATTGCTTCTAATTTTAAAAACTGTTAACGATAGAGATATCACAAGTTCCTCTGGTGACATATTTCATTGGTCAGGTAAGGTTGAAAGTTCCTCACAGAGCAGCCAAAAACTTTCTTTGGGACATTAAGCATGTGCTGCTCCTCAGTCCTTACTGCCACGAGCACATGGCAGGCACCGTGCATCCACTCTTGTAAGTCTCCACCCTTCAGGCCATTTTCCAGCTGCCAAAGGAAGAACTACAGGAGTGGTACAGGCAGAAGAAAGCTGAGAAGAAAAGGAGGCCTGCACCTGTTCTGCCTGGTAATCCTGGGCCTTCTCCTGCATGGCCCTCAGGCGGGCGATCTCCTTCTCTTTTTCTCTCCGGATTCTCTCCTGCTCAGCCTCAAACTCTGCTTCTCGAGCCTGCCGGGAGAAAAGGCCTCACTGAATAGTTCTCATTACCCCAAGCCTGCACAGAGAAATGGTCCATGCAACACAATTTCCAACATCTTCCCTCACTTTCTGACTCCTTTTGAGATGGTTAATGGGAGCTTATCAAATGCATGTACATAAAAATAGTGTTTGTAAAATGTCTTTTTTTTTTTTTTTCCCCCAGCATTGGAGATTGAACCTAGGACCTCTGAGCTACCTCCCCAGGCTGGGCTTGAACTTGTGATCTTTCTGTCTCAGTCTCCCACAGTACTGGGTGGTATGCACCACCAAGCTGACTTTAAAATGCTCCATTGTTTACAAAAGCTTTTCCCAGAGAGTTCTCACAACAACTCACAAGACAGATATCGCAGATGAGGAAACAAATGTTCATAGAGATCAAGGGTCCTGCTCCAGATCACCTAACTAGTAAAACAGTCAAACAGGATTTGAATGCAGATATCCTGTTTCATACTCCTTCCAGTACACTGCAGATAATTTTCAAGTTGCATGGCCACTGGGCCCAGTAGTGACTGTGGCTCCCTGCCTCTCTCATAAAGTGCAGCAGGTGGAGGTTATCTCATTAATCCCTGGGCAAAGGGCCAGCCATGCTCTGGGCAATCCCGCAGTGGTTGGCAGATACCTACAGAGTGAACCATCAAAATTAGCTCCTTTTAACACCTCTCTGAAAGAATGGGTTCATCCCTAAAGCCTCTCAACCTTGTCGCTTGAGCACTCATAAGACCATGGGCAGAGATTGAGTGGAAATGTGATCTTCCCAACAAGAACCTTCCTTAGGCCTCGTTCTGCCTACTCAGACTCCTATGAGACCCAGTGGGCTGCCTGCCTGAGAGCCACGCTCTGCTCTGTCGAGCTGTCAGCTTTTAGCTCTGCAGGGGCAGCCCTGAGACACCACGGAGAGCGGAAGTGATTGTGATGCGCAGTCGTGTGTCACATCATGTCATGATCCAGGACAGACTCCACATCCACAGGTGGTCCCCTCAGATTGTGCCATCTGGCGACACTTACCCATGGTAGTTTGAGTACTCTCCGTCACGTTCAACAGTGATGAAATCACCCAGGGATGCCGCACTAAGAATGGGGGCCATCATTAAGCGATACGAGACAGACTGCTCTTAGACACGTACAGGGGCCTGTGGACACGCCCAGGTCTCATCTCTTTGCTAGTCACCAGCCTCTCCCCACTCCACCTGGCCGGGGTCCTTCCCACGGATAAAGACAGGATATGTCCCTCCCTGTCAGAAACCTACAGTTATTGCTCATCACTGCTGCCTTCCTGTCCTGCTCAAGGTCCACGGCATCCCCAACAACTGCTCCCAGCTCTCCAGGATCATCTCACCATCCTCACCTCTCATCATGACCACCTCAGGCTCGTTCACCAACGCCCACGCACGATCAGCTCACTGTCCTAAACCGGGCGTGGTGGCGCACACCTGTAATCCCAGCACTCGGGAGGCTGAGGCAGGAGGATCGCTGTGAGTTCAAGACCAGCCTGAGCTACATAGTGAGTGCCAGGTTAGTCTCAACTACCTAGGGAGACCCTGTCTCAAAAAACAAAAACAAACAAACAAACAAAAACAACCAGTGCATTGTCTCCACCTTCACCCATTCAGGGAAGGAACTACTGAGTTCTGTACAATGGACTAGGTTCCCTGCCTAGTCTGACACTAGACATACTTTGAAGCATTCAGTATATTTTGAATAGATCCACAGCCACACCACACAATTGTTGTAAAGATTAAATGGGATAGGGCTGGGAATTTAGCTCAGTGGTTCTGCCACCTGCCTTGCCAGTGCAAGGTCCTGAGTTCGATCTCCGGTGCCAAAAAAAAAAAAGATAAAATGGGATAACACAAATAAAACAACAGCACAGAGCACAAGCACAGTCCCAGTGCTTAATAAGTGGTAGCTATAAAAGAATCAAGATATGATATATATGTAACAATTCCCTAGAATGAATATATTTATGTATTGCAAACATATACTAATAAAAAGAGGAAAAATAAAATATAAAAAGTAATAAAGGAAAAATAAATGGTAGTTATATAGGCATTACTATGTTGAAAACATCTATGGCCCACCTTACATTCTTACTCTGCTGCCTGCATAGCCCCAGAATCTGGTAAGAAAACTAAACCTAGTGAGTGAGCTTTGCCGACTTTCATTCCCTGTGATCTGTATTCAGCATAAATCAATATACTGCCTTTTCAAATGATAGCCACATCCTCCCTTCCTTAAGAATACCTACTCTAGAGGGACAGGGAGAAGTGTGACGTGTTTTCTGTTGTCCTGGAACTACTACGAAAGTTTTGGGAGAGACACGGCCAACGTAGGAAGAAATAATCGCGTGTCTCTTCCTATCTTTACATAAATCCATCTCCATGTGTGCTTAAAAGCCTTCTTGTGCCCTCTCTGCCCCACAGACCCCAATCTTTTCATTCCTCAATTTTGCCCCAGAATGAGTCCATGCTCCTGTGAGCTATATCCATCCATCACAGTCTGCAAACCTTACATTTGTTCCTACAAGTTCAACAGTGACGGGAAGGAAAAGCCTATTTTCTGAGTCTGACATCCAAAACAGGATGCCTAATGTAGGAGTTTTCACAAGAAATGTACGGAGCAGCTGACTCATCATGATTACTGGGGAAAGTCAAGGCATGAAGAATCCACCAAAACTTCACTTTCCACCAATCATTTTTAATTTTCTTCCCTCCCTGCACATGATCCTCATCCCAACCTCTAAATGAAGGTGTTAATGAGAATAATAACACACTCATCTGGGGGTTCTCTCTATGTTACTTTCTGTTAATAAACAAATGGTTTGGTCAAGATGAAAAGAAAAAGAAGCCAGGTGCTTGATCCAGGGACGCAAATTTTCAAATGAAGACAGGGCCACTTCCGCTGGCTCCCTTGGCATGCAGGCCTGCCTCCCGAGGTTATAGCCAAGACATTCCCCCAATGCCCAGCATCAGAAACCCAATCCCTACCATCTTCTTTTTAGTGAACTCCATCACCATCTGGTCGGCCAGCTTCTCCTGAGCCAGCAGCTGTGCTTTCTGCCGCTGGTTTTCGTCATTGATGTGCTTAATCTCAGCCTGCATCTTCAGCCTTTGCTGGTGTCTCTGTTGCAGGTCCTGCCAGCAAAAGGGAGAGAGCCTCAGAGAAGAAGGAGGGGAGACCAAAGGCTGCTGGAGTATGGGGGTGGAGATGAAGACGGAGGCAGGAGACAAAGGTGCAGCCACTGTCCTGCATCTGTCGCCAGCCTTTGTTAGAGGTGCACTCTCAATGGTCATCAGAGACGACTAGCAAGTGGCCGCCTTGCAGTCTTCAGGCAGCCCCGACACTGCTGATTGCTCCCCACTCCGGAAGTGAAAGCTCTTGAAGTTCTGCTCTTTGCCCCTGTGTGTCCCTCTAAATCCCAGCCTTGTGGCTTTGTTCACACCGCTATCCTCCCGCCTTCGATCCTTTCATTTCCATCTCCTATGTAAACTCACTTTTTTTTCACATTTCATTTTATTCATTTCTTTAAATGCCAGGGGTTGAACCTAGGGGCTTCTCCCCGAGGTATCTCCCCAGCGTTTTTACTTTTAGGTTTTACATTTTGAGATGGGGACTCACCAAGTCACTAAGTCGCCTAGACTAGGCTTGAATTTGCAGTCCTTCTACCTCAGCCTCCCAGAGTGCTGAGGTTACAAGCATGTGCCACTATGCCCAGATTCAAATCATCTTTTTAAAATTTATGCTTTAAATTGATAAACCCAAATTTTCAACCTCTATCTAATAGTGATTAAAAATAAATATTGCCCTACTTAAGTGCTTTCTGTCAAGTTCTTTCTATCACTGGGCACTTTGCATCCCTATCTCTAACACCTAAATATAATTGCAAAACTCTGATAGACAGTTCTTGGGCAGATGAAGAAACTGAGGCCCAGCGTGAAGTGACTTGCCCAAGGCCACACAGCTAATAAACCCAGGGCCAGGATTTCGAAACCTGCTTTGTCTAATTTAAAGTTCCAACCCACTCTGGGAATCTAACTTTATTGTCCCAACTTTGTTTTCCCTGTGTTGCTGAATTCCCCCTGCACTTAGGGTGGTGCCGGGCATCTTGGGAGGTGGATCCTATTCTACTCCACACGAACAGCAACAATGCACTATTGCTACATGAAGACCAAGATGAGCGGCAGGTGAGAAAGAAGAGCACAAATGTCCTAGACACAGAGGAGCAAGTGTCTCTGAGCCATGGAGAAAAGAGTACCAGCAGGACTCGAGTGACGAGGTCCTTTATGAGAAAGGACCGCCTGCCTTTTCCAACTGGGCCCCCCCAAATCTCCCACTGTTCAGACCACCTCTGTGCCCAGGCCCATTCTTCTCAGGTTAGAGCGCAAAGGGGCACTGCAGTCTTATGCAGCTGGCTCCTATCGCCTCTGAGTTCAGCCTCCCCACCTCCTACGTGGCTTCTAGCTCCCTCTGTTTCTTCAAAGACCAAATCCCTCCCTGGCCTTCCACGTCCTCCGCCCTACTTCTTCCCTGATTCACCTACCCAAGCCAACCCTGCTCGCATGTCCTCCCCTTGGGCTGCCTTTCTGCCAGCCTGGCTCACCACCACCCCCAGCTCGGGCCCCTCGTCCAGGCAGCCTTCTGAGCCGCCGCTGGGTCCATGTAGGGCATGAGTGACAGTGGTGAGCATTTCTTCACTCTCACCCTGCTTATGGTCAGTCCACTCTTCCACTCTGCCCTCAACTCTCATGCTGCTCTTTTCCTTCTCCTTTTGTCCTTTGCTCTCTGGTTTTTCTCTCTGGTTTCAGGTCTGCTATTGCTGCCCTAGGCCTCATTAATCCCACTGACCCTCAAAGCTAAAGAAGCTGCCGGCCTCTGATCCAGGATATACAGACAATCATGGGTTTATTTGCTTTCTTCTTTAGTTATTTACTCTCTGGTTTGTTGTTTTTGTTGGCTCATTTCATTTCCAAGAAACCAAGTACTTTCCCTGTTTCTCATCTTTGAAACCCTCAGAGCAGCCCAGATAAACTCCTTTCACTCTTGCACTCTGAGATTACAGGGCAGCTCTACAGCAGGGCAGGCGCGGAATTTCTAACCTAAAGCTCCCATTACCTCCTGGAGACTCAGGGAGAGGCATGACCCAGCCTCAGAGGAATGGTACTGACTCACTGACTCCTGGAAATTCCCATCAATCCCCCTCCCCACAATCTGGTTGGATTTCCCGGTCTTTTTTTCTCACCCTCCTTCCCTGCACATCTGCCCCACTTGACTCCTTCTTGGCCTTTCTCACTCTCTCCCCTGAGCCTTGGTCCCCTTCTCAAGCACTTCACAAGGCCAAATGCCCCCTGCTCCCTCAACCACCCACTGACCTTCATCCCACTTCTCAGGCTGATGCCCACACTGCAGGTGCCCTGATAACCTTCCTACTTACAAGTCTGCCCACCTGTGGGACCCTTCACAGGCCCCAGTCGCTCGCCACCATGAAACACACAGGCTGATGACAATTCAGTCATCGATAAATGGGGGGGGGGTAAAAATAAAAATAAAGGAATATGTGCTCCACAAGGTAAGTTGTGCGATGAGGAAAACATCACACAAATCCCAGTATGGAATGTCCTTTAAGGCACCTGGCCTGGACGCCTCTAAATATCAGTGTAATAAAAATAAATGAATGGGGGGTGGACAGAGGATGGTTAATGGCACAGTGGTACAACTGGATAGGAGGAATAGCTTCCAATGTTCTGTAGCACCATGGGAGAACTACAGCTGACAGCAGCTCATTCTATATTTCAAAAGACATGAAGAGGAGATTCTGACTGTTCCCAAAGAAAGAGTAAATGCTGGAGGTGATATGACCACTGCACACAGTACACCATAAATACGTGCGATTACCATGTCAACTAAACAAAGTATTTTTGTTCTTTGAGGCAGGGTCTCACTATATAGTTGAGACTGACCTGGGATTCACTTTGTAGCCCAAGCTGGTCTCGAACTCACAGTGATCCTCCTGCCTCAGCCTCCCGAGTGCTGGGATTACAGGCATGTGCCACCACACCCAGCAACAAAATATATTTAAAAAAAATAAATCAATAACTGAGAAACTCCTTTAGATCAAAACAGACTAAAGCAACTTGAATAAATGCAATGCAAACTTTGATTGCAGCCTGGTTTGGCAAAAAAATCTATAAGTACACTTTTGGGATAACTGTAATATGGATTAAGTGTTAGGTGACACCATGGCATCACTCGATTAGAGTTTCTAATGGGAATGTGATAAGGGTACTACTGATATCTAAGACTGGCATTGTTCTTCAGACTGACGTGTTTTAGTGGCAAGTGGTCAAGATATCTGCAATTTAAAGTAGATTAACAGGGCTGGGGATTTAGCTCAGTGGCTCCACACCTGCCTCTCAAGCACAAAGTCCTGAGCTCCATCCCTAGCACCAAAAAAGTAAAATAAAATAGATTAACAATAGATTTTAATATATATGAGAACAGGCAACTAAAGTAAATTGTTAATATTCATTCAATCTAAGTCAAGAATTAGGGGGCAGGATACAATTCTTTCAATTTTTCTGGGCATGTAAATTTTTCAAAATAAAATAATGAAGGGCAAAAAACCACAGACGCCCCAACAGCCGGTCGTCCCTCTGTGCCTGTGTAACCTCACAACAAAGCAGATCAGACATGTCGCGAAGGACTTGTGAGTCTCCTTACCTTGGGCAACTATGTCATCAGACTGCTTTTTTGCAGTGGTTATGTCTAATTTTATTTAGGTTCCCAGAAAGGAAAGGGTTGGCTCTGCCACCCAATTAATGACAATGGGATGCTATGCACTTTAGACAAAGTAACAACAGGGAGCCAGGAACTAAGGCATGGCCAGTGCGCATCTACAAAGAGTGTTATATCCTTCAGGGGTGGACACAGACTACAAAGCACGTCTGTGTTTACTTGTGCAAAGCATGCAGCCTCAGACTTGCTTTATGTGTCTATTCACACTGAGATGTCATTCTCGGACCCCGGGTCCCAGGGAGGCAGGAACAATATCTACCCAAATCATTGCTCATCCCCCAGAGTGACGCCATGACCAAATAAATACTTAATGTGGCAATAAAAAGTGGACGGTGATGGTGTTGTGAAAGGAGCATGTGCCTGACAGAGAATCAGTCCACACCCTGAATCCCCAAAATCTTGGAGGGCTGTGTTGCTGTAGCCGGTGAAACCCAGCGTGGCCTGTCCAGCACTGTTACCCGCAGATCCTCCTCATGGAGCTGCTCCATGTACTCCAGCATCTGCTCCTTCTCCTGCTCCCTCTGCTCCGCAAGCAGCGAGCGCTCCTCCTGGTTCCTTTCCATCTGCTCCACAATGTGCCGTCTTCCTCTGGGAGGGAACAGTGACACAGTGTTACAGGTACCGAGGACGCAAGTCCCTCTGCTCCAACCTCCGTCTAAGGTGGGAGGTTTGCCAGGGACAATTTGGCAAGAGCCCCTTTTACACGTTCACAGTGGGGCCGTAATTTGTGTGTCTCGCTGCCAGGCAGCTCTGAACCACCAGTGGTAGGTACCTGCACGACTGTGCTATCGGGCAGCATAGGACAGTCCCGTGGGGTGGGGTGGAATGAGTTTCTCAAATCCTGCCTTTTCCCATTTTCTCTGAGTATAGGAACCAGCTTCATGAATTTTCACACAATTACAAAGCCCAGGACTTCTAACACTTCCAGTGCTTCTGTTATCACCTGCCCTGCCCCTCCTCTGACAACTGTTTTGTGTTTGTTTGTTTGTCTGTTTTCACAAAGTTATTAAAAGCTTTATCTGTGATTGGAATCATTAGACAAAAAAGCAAACGCCAATGAGCCTCAAAAAAGGAACTAAGCTGCTGTCTAGAATGGCTCAGAACCTCCGACACCTCGTTGACAACTGTTTTTTAGATCTACACCTACATTTAAGAGCTAAGATGGAGGAAGTCTCTCGGTCAGGTGATCCCCAGTCCGAGGAAAGAGCGGGAGACTGCCGTCACCAGGAACACAATGTGTGTGCCTGCGATGTCAGTAAATTTGGGAGCATCTAGACCCCGTGACATCAGTAAAGGTTGGAAATTGAGAGAAGACAAGATTTGGAAGGACTCAAGGCGAAGGAGTGCAGGTTTCCCTTTCAGAGGGAGGATGCATGGGCTTCCTACTCCAGGTGAAATGAACCTAAAAGCAGGCATGAGCTCAATAGGGCCAGGGCAAGGCATTAGAACTGCCTAGTAAAGCAGAGATATTTCCTGCATTGGGGCAGTCCATGCAGAAGGTGCAAGCCACTTAGCCACAAAATAAACTGGCTTGGAGCCTTCTGCAGCCTACCGGGCACCTACTAGAACCACAGAGATACACAGTTCAAAGTAACCAAATACAGCTGGGGAGATAAAACTGCCAATCAGAGTGTAGTACAAGGACTTCTCCTACAGGAAATTCACAGATTGTGTGTGGCCGGTGTTCTAACTCTAGGGCACTATGGCTCCACAATTTATCTGCTCTGGGACTTGTCCTGTTCTGCGGAATGAAGGGAGAGGGACTGAATTTATTCGCTCTAGTGCTAACTGAGCACCCACTACAGGACGAACACTCTGCTAGGGCCTGGAGTTTCAGAGAGGAATGACATGCCCCTGTCCTTAATGAGC